CCCCGAAAGAGAATTTTGATTTCTCTGCATGTATTGAAGGGTATATTTGGCATTTCGAAAATCAATATCGGATGAATGAGAAATTACGAAAAAGGCCTCAACCATTAGTGAATAGACACATTTTCATAAATGTGCATTGTTTGGAAATGGTGCATGGTTTGGCCTCAACCATTTCGTCCACACCCTTTCATGGTCTATAAATAAGACCCTTTGGATGTCCTATTCCTCACAGTTTGATATGCAAAAACGTCTCTCATCCTCTCTTCTATCCAAAATCAAAATCATTTCATTTATTTTGATTTTCTTTCATTTCATCCTTGGAGTACATAAGCCTACATTTGATTCGTTGTACTTGTGTTTTGGAGTGCTACAAACACAAGTGTAGCCGTTGTATCTTGGGAGTCGATTGCCGAAATCCGTAGGCACCGTTGCGGGGCAAATTCGACTTAAGGACAAAGAGTCCAACTCTTGCCTCGACTTTGTCACCATCATTATACTTATTTCCACGTCACTATTCACAAAATTCTTCCAACACTTATATCTCAAATTTTGCACATTAATTTTCTATTCCTCAGTCCATAACTGTTAACACCATGTTCTGTTTTCTTTTAATTCGTAGCATCACTCCAAGTTCGTAGCAGATTTCTTCCTACTTTCTCCTTTGTTTTGTTCTTGATCCTTCTCAAGTCTTTTATTCCTTTTCACTGTAAAAATACGTATTTAGAATAAGATAATTGTGAGATTTCATTATGACTATACATTTTTCTTACAAAAAATCCCACATTTTCCCAGAAAAACTTTAAAACCCATGAATGGAAATTTGCGGAAAAATAATGTATGAAGCGGTCCTGGTAATTTAGAAAATGGAGAATTAATTGTTTCAATGGTCACTTAACTAAGGCTTCTGACTTTAATTGATTACTGAAGTTTAAAATATCGAATTTTGGTTATTGAACTTAGGTCTATATCTTCAAATGCTTATCAATTTTTGACCACTGAACTTTAAAAATATTATACGTCATTTACTAGCATAGATATTGAATTTTGAAAAATATCGAATTTATGTTGAGTAATGTATAATATTTTTCAAAATTCAATGATCAAAGCTCAATATTTTAAACTTAATGATCAATTGAAAACATGAACTTAAATTCGGTGACCATTTGAGCAATTAACTCGAAAAGGGTTGAGCCGTGAAAAGGCTATTTTCAAAGGTTGAAATGAAAAATGTCTTGTTGCGAAGTACATATATATATATATGCAGTTATTGCCAGTATGTCTCTATGTGCAACCAGTCAATGTGAAGGACTAAAAAAATAAGGTAATTTCCCTTCAAATCCAATAATCCTTTTCTAGATTACGTAATATGTTTTGGCTCTCTCTGTATATTTTTTTCGTAAGTCATTTTCATTGTTTTCTTTGTCACATAATTCCATGACATACGACGTATGTGGCTGTTAGGCGTCTTTGATTTTTGGTCTGTGGTATTTGTAGTGTAGAATAAAACCTAAAATTTGCATATTTTTCCTTATTGAAATCTCAGGATTGTTTATGTTAAATTTGTTTTTTTTTTTTTAGATTGTATTTTTCTTGTTCATTGATTAGCTCATCAGTATAAAGGCCTGTCAGTGCTTATTTTGGGATTTGTGTTTCTGGGCTTTAATTTTTTCCCCCTAGTAAATTAAGGAATGGGTTACTTTTTGCACGCAGTTTTATGTTTATTGTACATTTTCTCAGTTTATTATTTTGTGGGCAAATGCCATTCTTTGTCTAATATAGATCAAGAGAAGGATATGATTAAATATTTGCCTGGACAGCCAGCTAATGTTGAATTCAATCAGTATTCAGGTTACGTGACTGTGAATCAGACTGCAGGGAGGGCATTGTTTTACTGGTTAACTGAGGCACCTACAAATAAAGAGTCTGAGTTGAAACCTCTTGTGTTGTGGCTTAATGGAGGACCTGGTTGTTCGTCTGTAGCTTATGGAGCTGCTGAAGAGCTTGGACCTTTTCGGATTAATTCTGATGGGAAGACTCTTTATCTCAATCCTTACTCTTGGAACAAATGTATGAGACCACTTGATTGGAAATTGGGTTAAAATAGCAACCTGTGACATTGTTCCGTTTTAGCTATTTTTGCCTAAATTTCATTTAATTTTCTGCAATAAATGACGTGGATGCTTTCCAGTTTGTAGATTTTTAAAATTCTTCAAATATTTTTGGCAGTGGCGAATTTGCTTTTCCTAGAGTCACCAGCAGGTGTTGGTTATTCGTATTCAAATACTTCATCAGATTTATATACTGCAGGAGACCAAAGAACAGGTGTGCTAAAGAAAATCGTAGTCTTTATTTTTAATTTTGTTCTAAATTCTTGATTGGATCATATAGGGCATGTTTGGTAAGGTGGACTAGACAACACTTAGACAATATTAATTAAATAAGAAATGAAACTTAATTTTTGTATATTGTACTATCTAACCTTGACTTGTGCTACTTATCAAACATACCGAACATACCCATAGTGTTATGGAATACTTTTTTGTAATGTGATCGTTTTAGCTTAAACTGCTTAGCTCTGAATGTTTTGATGCGCGTTTAATGAATGTTTAGCTGAAGATGCATACATCTTTCTTATGAACTGGGTTGAGAGGTTTCCTCAGTACAAACATAGAGATTTTTACATTGCTGGAGAAAGCTATGCAGGTTTGCAATACATGCACTATTCCATTTACATTATGTCATTTTGGTAGGGAAGTTTGGATACTACTGTATAATATTGACGAAGGAAAAAGTTAAAATCTTGTTAAATAAGCTAATCTATCAAATTTATTCATATGTTCAGGACACTATGTTCCTCAGCTATCTCATATTGTATACGAAAGAAACAAGGGAGTGCAGAATCCAGTTATTAATTTCAAGGGATTCCTGGTACTTACTACATATGATAGCTTTTGTAAATTGGATTAAATTTGAGCTAATTATGGCATATTTCATGGAAAGAATTGGACAGTCGACAACAGTAATGAGCAAAAAGAAGTTAAAATCTCATACTCCGTCCCATTTATATAGACGGACTTTCCTTATTTTTTTGTTCCAATTATATAGCCCCTTTTTTTTATTGAGAATATTTTGTTTTGTTCGTTTACTAATATACCATTATTTAATTTGCCTAGTTATAATCAATTTTCCCTATTTACACTTGAAATTGTACAAATATAAATAAGGGTAGATTAGGAAAAATTTGAGCAAAAATTGCTTTTTCAATAACATTAAATAAGATTTTTTAATCCGCGTGAAAAAAAATAACAAATCTATATAAATGGGATAGAGGGAGTATATTATAATGTCGAGTCTTATTTAATACTGCGTGCCAAACATGCATTTGATAGATTCGGTTATTTCCTTAACAAACTTTCATCTCTTTTAGGTGGGGAATCCTGTTACTGATGATTACAATGATTATATAGGCACATTTGAGCATTGGTGGAGTCATGGCTTAATTTCAGATTCTACTTACAAAACCTTGGGAATTAACTGTGACTTCGGGTCTGGTACCCATCCTTCTAGTGATTGCATTAAGGCTCTTAAGCTTGCATCAAAAGAGATGGGGAACATTGATCCATATAGCATTTACACTCCTCCTTGTAATTATACATCTTCACTCCAACGACGATCAAGGGGTCATTATGTAAGTGCTTTCACAGGCATGTTTAACACATCTATGAGGAAGATTTTAATCTCTTTCTGAGTTAATATTGTTTAGTATTGCTAACCCACCTTACAAACGTATTATATTTTTTGATTAAATTTTAGACTAACTAATTTAGAGCACTAGAACTGAATTAGAAGGTAATTCATCATTAGGCCAAAGTCTTGTTGAGATGTTTGACTTGTATTCAATAAGAGTAGTTTCAGATTGAAACATTCCATATGCTATGATAAGAAAATGAGAGATCGTGATGCCTTTTCCGATATAAAGTTCCGTTAGAAACTGCTTTCCTTTGAAACGAACACCGTGGAATATCAGAACAGTGAACGGCCAAAGTAATTTTGCAGCTCAAATCAATATAGAAGTTCTTTTAATTCAAATGAAGCAATAAATTACATTTCCTATTATCTAGCTCTGCTTTCTCAAGTATTACCAACAGATGGAAAGAACTAAAAACAAAATTCCCTATACATTATGATGCATCCAACAAATGAAAATTAGGAATTTTTTTTGATAGTTTTTGTGATGTAGTATTTTTATGGTAAAATTTATAATACCACCTTATGAAATGATTTTTATAATGGAAATTTTTATATTTCCTCTAGATCTTGAGTTTTTGTTTTATTGTATAAATAGGAGCACTAGGTCTGCTAGAAGGATGGGTTTATTAAGTGAAGAAACTGAGTCTTCTCAAATGTCAGGCCAAATTCTTAGTATTTTGTATGAACCTCCGAGCCTATTACCTGATATCAACACAAAGTAGTAGGTTGCTTTGGAATTCTGTGTTTTTGCATTTCATGCACACCTCCTTTATGAGTTTGTATCAGAGACCTGCATCGCTTCTTTGAGCAAGTTGCTAAGGAGATCCATATGCATGAAAGTACCACTAGGGAATGATGAAAATGTTAACTACAGAAATATTTTACGTTTTCTTTTTTAGGTTTACGTAATAATTTTGACAAATTTTCTGATATTATATTTATTTTGCACAATTAACCTCTCTGTTGATTTTCATCTGGTTATATATGTAGCCATGGATGCCTAGAGCATATGATCCATGCACTGAGCGGTACTCTGAAATTTACTTTAATATCCCTGAAGTTCAAAAGGCATTCCATTCCAATGTGACTGGGATTTCCTATCCATGGGAAACATGCAGGTAAATTACTTCAAAACTTCTTCTATACTTTATTGTGCAAGGTGTGGGTATTTTTTGTATTGAAGTTTATTCGTTGTGCAGTGATGTTGTTGGTAAGAACTGGGGCGATTCTCCATTGTCCATGCTTCCAATTTATCAAGAACTCATAGCTGCTGGTCTCAGGATTTGGGTATTTAGGTATGAGACACTAGTCTATTCTCCTTTACCTAAATCCTTTAGCTGATCTTTCTAGAAAAATAATTTTTGTTTGAAAAAAAAAAGGAACTAAACTTTGAAAATCACGTTTGAAAAGTCGTGTTTAACTTAATTTTCATCATTTCTTCTCCTTACGTGATGGCGTGCAAGTTGCTTTCTCAAATTTGCGTTTGTTTTGTATTGCAACACCTTTAACTTTTAATATTGTACTAAGACGATGTCAGTTGGTGAATCTCTTTGAAGTCTAAGGTTTGCAAGTTTGATTGAATTTTGAAAATATTTATATATCAATGTATTTTAAAAAGGAAAAGAGATTAAAATCTTGTTCATGTACTCTTTAGTCCAGTCCACTGTTATGGACCAATCGAGTTGAGATATGTTGTGCCTATTTGGCTGTCCAACCACTCTATTTGTGACTAACACATCTTGTGTGGCATGAACTTGGTTGCTTTCAGTGGGGATACCGATGCAGTGGTTCCGCTTACAGCGACTCGATATTCAATTGATGCTTTGAAGCTTCCAACTGTTGTCAACTGGTACCCATGGTATGACAATAAGAAGGTTAGTGTTGAGAAAGATCGATAATGTACTCTCATGTTTTAGTGATATTTAGTCTCTCTGAAAAGTCCTATTGTTGCATTCCTCTATAAACTTCGATTTTGTGCATTTTTCACATTGAATAAATGGTACTTTTATCATGAATATTCTTGTTATAACGTTACATATCAAAAATATAATCTTTGCGAAGCCTTTCTTTTATTTTGTTTGTCGTTGTTGAACCACGTGGTCCAAAAGTCTAGCTTTTGTAAAGGAGACATTTATTTATCTAAATTTAGTCCTCAACATGCCCTCTCACTCCCTACCAAATTTCTTGTTTTATCGAAGGTTTGAAACTTGTAAAATTTTCATAAATAGATGGTGGTGAAATTTGATATGCTCTGATTCCATGGTCAACCACATCATGTAAAAACCTAAGCCTTGGGAGAAGAGACACGTATACTTATTTAAATTCAATCTTCAACATCTTTCACAATATTCATAAGTGGGTGGCAAGACACTTTTGCCTAATCTGATAGCCCGTTGAACTTGTCTGATGGCACGTTGAACTCATTTAAGCATGTTTAACCATTTCATCTAAAAGTTTAAGATTTTGGAGAGGAGACACATTTTTAATTTATTTGAAATTAGTCTTTAGGAGCTATGCATCATGATGCCATGCTAACATTGTCATCTTTCTTACGCTTCTTCAATTTCACATGCATCACAAGCCTTCGTTGTCGTTGTCTCATCGTTTCTTTTTTCTTCAATTCTTCTATATTATTGTCGGATCTCCATTCAATATTACTTGCTCCTTTCTACTCTTTCACTACATAGGTTGGTGGATGGAGCCAAGTATATGAAGGATTAACTTTCGTAACCGTGACCGGAGCAGGGCACGAGGTGCCACTTCATCGCCCTCGACTAGCTTTCATTCTTTTCAGATCATTTTTAGAGAACAAGCATATGCCAAGCTGAATCTTGTCCTCATAGATATTGGGTAAAAATTATCAACAGAAGATAGCACGATGATCATACGTTTTATATAATTACTGTTTTTCATCTTTAACATTTGAAACCAATTCATCAAATGTTCTGTAATTTGAATTCTAGAACGATTGTATAAAGGTTATAATATGGTCTTGTAATAGAGTTCTATTTGATTGCTGATGTTTGATATGTTTTTCCTACGCCAAATGTGAGAGTCGACTTCCAAGGAGGTTGACCAATTCTCTTTTTTGGATTTTAGACTGCATCATATTCTTTTATCCCTTCATAGAACTCATCACCTATCACTTGCAAATGAATGATTCTAGATATATTTAATGAAGATTTTCGTAATTTTTACAGTACAACCATAATGAAAAATCGAGTATGAATTTACACTTTAGTGAAGAAATAACTCGCTACCGATCAATACTTTGGAGACCAACCATACCATTTACCTTATTATAATTTACAGAAATTTCACAATAATAATAATAATATCACTCGGATCATTGCAAATCTATCAGGGAAAAAATTTCTTGTCAGATTTCATCTTGATTTTTTTCCTCCGGAAATCAAACTCCACCACAGAAATCTTTGATATATCCACTTAATCATCCACGTAAGCATCCTATCGGTTAAGAGAGAACACGTGGCCCAATAACATAATCGGATCCGTAACTCTTAGCCAATAGAAATCAACATTCAGATTCTCCAATATCCCTGCTTTGCATCTACGATTATAACTTCTACTAGTCCCTTGTTACACATTTCATTCTTGCCCACTCTTTCTCGTTCAGTTTCGACTTCTAAAAATTCTGAGAATGGCAGCCAATGCATTCATGAGCTGCGGCGTCGCAGCCGTCGTTTGCCCCTCGGTCCTCTCGTCTTCCAAGTCGAAATTTGCAGCCTCTGTGCCCGTGGCTGGCGGAGCCACCAATACTACCGCACGGTTCACCATGACGGCCGACTGGATGCCCGGTGAACCGCGACCACCCTACCTTGATGGCTCAGCACCTGGGTAATTATCCATCATCATTATGCTATCATGAACCTTGTAATCAAGAGTCACATACAATATTTAAGCTAAAATTTAATGAATAAACTTATAATTGTTATCGTGGTTTTGCAGGGACTTCGGATTCGACCCACTTCGTCTAGGTGAAGTCCCAGAAAACCTAGAGAGATACAAGGAGTCTGAACTCATTCACTGCAGATGGGCCATGCTTGCTGTGGTAAGTATTAAATTACTTTAACGTTAAAAAAATTACTTAAGCATGTTAGGAGAGAAAAATGGACATATAATTGAACATATGAGTATAGAATATAATCTCGACTTGCACAACATTCTCTGAAAATGATTTTGTCCAATTTTTTTGCAGCCCGGAATCCTGATTCCGGAGGCCTTGGGATTGGGCAACTGGGTTAAGGCACAAGAGTGGGCAGCAATTCCGGGCGGGCAAGCTACTTATTTGGGTAACCCGGTTCCATGGGGCACTCTCCCAACAATTTTGGTCATCGAATTCTTGGCTATTGCATTTGTAGAACACCAAAGGAGTATGGAAAAGGACCCGGAAAAGAAGAAGTACCCGGGTGGAGCTTTTGACCCATTGGGCTACTCCAAGGACCCAGAAAAATTGCATGAGCTCAAAGTCAAGGAAATCAAAAATGGTAACACTAACGACCCTTTTTCTTTTTGATATCAATGTCTATGATCTATAACGAGCGTTGACAGAATCCTATGTAGCGAAAAATAATTTGACGGAAAAGATGACCGTGTTTTAAATAATTCAATAATAGAGCGTCAAGTGATATTATATCAATTATTCAGATATTGTAGCATGATTGGTGAACAATATAAGATTTAGTATTACAAGCCAAACATGTTTTTAATGTCACTATGATTTTGATTACTACGTAATTAAATGCGAGTCGACTACTAAAATTATTAAAAAATTTGTGTGCAGGTCGTCTTGCCTTGTTGGCATTTGTGGGATTCTGCGTTCAACAATCTGCATACCCTGGTACAGGGCCATTGGAAAATTTGGCAACACACTTGGCTGATCCGTGGCACAACAACATTGGAGATGTCATTATTCCTAAAGGCATTTTCCCTAATTAGTGATACATATTGTACAATTAATATGTAATGCTAATACTTAATGAATTGGACATGGGCCTTTTTGGCATATAATCTTCTTCTTCGTATTGTTTAATATTACATATTATGTCTATGATACATATTGAAGAGACTATAGTTTGAGCGAATTTCATCGGCGATGTGAATGGTTTTATTTGAAGTCGAGAACAACAATCATTGGTTTTCTTTTAGTCTTCCTAAAGAGCCGTTGTACTGGTTAATCATATTCTTAACGAGCAAATAAACAAGAAATAGATTATTTACTAGTAGTTCCATTTCGCACTTTAAAATAAAATAGAGTTTGATTGGTGCTACTGATGGAAAGGCATTCAACGAGTACTCTTGCATAATTCAAATCAACTCGATTTAAGCAATCATGGAAAGCAAGAATTTTACTAAGGTCATGTTTGATAGGAAAGGAATTCCATGAAACTTGGAAAATATTTGAACATTTTCCATCTTTTTGATGTCAGAATTTCTTCGAATCTGTTCTCGAACTTTACATAAATTTTAAGATATTTCATGTGATATAGAGTTTCTACTCGTCCCCTGAACTAAATTTTTAGAAAAAATTTTCCATCCAAGATTTAGTAATCGGTCCATTCTCAGTCTTGATAAAGTCCATCTTGTTGCAATAGAAATGAACAAGAACAAATAACTGTATTATTGAGTTTTTATGATAGACCCAATTGTCATGTTTTAGCCCGTCATCAATCTCAAGTGTCAAAATAGTCTATCCTACTATATTTCAATGTTAATTAAAACACAGTCAATTACATTAGTTTTTTTTTTTTTTTGAAGAATAATTAAAATCATTTTAATGGCTCTGCCTAAAGATCGATAATGTTGTCCATACTACCATATTAATCAACGACTTCAAAAACAGAGTAGAACAACAAATCAATCGACCCGCACTGAAAAGGCAGTGGATCGAGCCTGGACTTAAAATGGTAACTTAAGGATTAAAATGCAAAGAAAAACAAAATAAAGGATGAAACTAGAATATAGCCTAAAGGTTGAGGACCGATAATGAAAATTTCCTTCTACACAAAAATCAACAGACAGGGTTCGGATGCGTTTCAAGAAGACAAACCAACCGGACCCATTCCCTTCAACATTTTAAATTCCTGCGTGGTCGAAAAACTCATCATCAAGTTCTCCCGGGGAATCTTAGAATAGAAAATCTTGTTTTAAAATCAACAAAATTTTCTGCAAAATAAAGATCCATTTTTGTATTTAGAGGCTTTCCGATCGAATATTTGCGACGGAAATAAAGCGTCCCACAACTGGTACGTTCATTCTCTCCCTGACGGCTCCCAAAAAAAAAGTGTTTCTATATAAATATATTTTCTGGGTTGTTTGTATTTCCTTGTGTTTTTGCTTTTGGTGTAACATTTAATTGAAGCTTATTATTTTTATTTGATTTATTATTTATTTCTTCAAGAATCTTATTTAATTATCAATGTCTACGTTAAAGATATTCCTTTTCTTTGATATGGTAAATAGTTATCGGCAACAAGACACTTTTATTTCATTTATTATTTTTATTTTTATTTTTTGATAAATTATGATTTTGAAGTGTGAAATGTATGTAATATATGCAGTTGTTTGCAGATGTCTAGTGAATTGGTCGATGGTGGCGAAAGCTCCTTTGATGTTGAGTTGTTGGACATTCGGGCTAGATGCAAAGAGGTATATGCTTCTGCTGTTATCATTAATTGACAATGGTTTATCTAGAACTCAGAAAATTAGATTAAAAAAAAGTAGGAATATTTATAGAAAATTGTGTTGCATTGTTGCACAATTTTACTCTCTTAAATGTTTGAATTTTGTTCCGCATGTTAGTTTTACCATCGGCTAGTTTTGGTGAAAAGCTTAAATATAGTAACTGAAATGGATTGGAAAAGGTCTATCTATCCTTTTTGTTTTCGCTATGAGTGAATTGATGAACTTCTTGTGAGTAACTTATAATGTCCTTATAATGACGTGAAATAAGTGAAACTTATGAGACACTGATATTTCCTAGCAGTTTTTGAGAATACACAAGATAATCATTAGTCTTTTAAGAGGCAGAAAATTGGGAAGATCTTTGCAAACCAAATGTTGTTTGAGAAGATAGATTATTCAATATTTTTCACTATGAATTACAAAAATGAGCTATTCAACTGGTTTTTAAATTCTAATGAGGTTGTTCTGTTACCAGATGTTTTAGTCATTTCAACATGTTTGTTTTACCCGTGTCTCTTGTAACTCTGAAATATTTGCTCGTATTAGACGATTTCTTTATTCTCATCAAAAGAATGTTGAGATGCTAATCCATGAAAAACTTTACCGGAAATTTTAAAGAACTGTTTTGTTTCCATAAGTATTGTTCACAGCCTGCTAATAAAGTTATGGTAGCATGACTGTTTTCATTATGCCTATTTTGTCTGTTGTAAAATGTATCCTTGTATCGGTAATAATTATACTAATCGCTCTAATATTCTTCTCTGATACAGCTGAAGAAGGAAAAGGAGATGTTGAAGGATTCAAAGTCCCAGAGTTTTGAATTCATCAGAGTAATTCAGATTTCTCTTGGTTATACACGGCTTCCCTATAATTTGTATGGCTGTGGCGGGCACACACACACCATTATATGTCTTTTTCACTCGGAGTGTCTATATGAACCATGGTAATTTAATGTGGTGGTCAAAAACTTCCACTTCCTTTTGCCGGTCATCAGATAGAAATATAGTATTAAGTTTTTGAGGAAAAAAGTTTAAAGGGGGAAAAAAGAAAAAAATATAGCGTTCATACTTTTATGAAGTTAGGTTTTTTGTGGCATAATATGACTGATAGTAGTAATTTTTACTGGTTTACTCCTTTATTTTGCACTTTTTATATTTTGCCTTTAGTTTTATGAACTTGCCATCTCTATGTTTCTGAAAACTGTCCTCCTTTCTTGCAGTATCATGGCTTTAAATGCTACGAATTTAATGTAAATGCATTGAAATAAGAATAAACTAATGTCAAACCATCTTTCATGCAGAGTTTAGAAATGCACGTAAAGACATTATCTGATGCCCATGCAGAAGACAAGAAACACATCCAGGGACTGGAAAGGGAACTGAGTAATTGCTCCCAGGAAATAGGTGGGGAATTCGACTGCAATTAATTTGCCGCATTTAGTTGCTTATATTGTTAATCGTTTTGTCTGATTTAAAGTCTGCTGCTCATAAATGCTGATATGCTGAACTGGATTGGACAAGACAGTATCTATAACTAAATTTTGGATTCTTTTTCTTCTTAAAACATGTCCATTACTTTCAATCTTCCTGCCAAACATGCCACTATAGTATAACTTTTGTACTTTAAAAAAATTATTGCATTTCAAACCAGCTGCAACATTTGGATAATAGATTGCATTTCTTGATACTACTGGTTGCAAAAGGAGATTTTATGGTTGACGAGGAGATGATAGATTAATAGGGCAAAAAAGAAAGTTGAAAGAAAAGAAGGTAGAAGGGGAGATGGAAGAGGCGACTGGATGAACAGAAATGGAAGAAGAAGAAAAAGTACTTAATGGGCCAATGGGGGATATTGCTAGGGACGTGCTTTATTGGCTGCTTCACTCAGCTTGTCACTAGGCCATTTTCAGCTAAATTAAAGCTCTGTTCAGGTGTTCACTGCTGAGTGTTTATCAATTTGTACACGCCCTACCAATTTCTATCTCCAAATCCCTCTCTAACCAAAGATAGAGCACTTTGTGTTCACTGTGAGTGTCGATCAATTTGTACATGCCCTACCAATTTCTATCTCCTAATCCCTCTCTAACAAAAGATGGAGCACTTTATAATTTGTCCTGGTTTCTGTTTCCTTCTCGCCTTTGTAATTTTCTCTCTCTTGGAAGGTGGCAAAGAAGCAACAAGGTTGCAGTGCATATGTTATCCACTGTATCGCTGTAGCAATGCCATTAATATTCGCCAAATTGGATAGTAGACCCAAGTTGAAGAAGCTGTCACATCATAGGGCCACAATTGCATTTCCTGTGGTTGAAATGACTTGATTCAACACTGTACCTCTATTTGTATGCTCCTACTTATTTGGTCAAAAGTATATATTATGATGTATCATTCCAAACAGTTTGTCCCTAACGTGTTTGTGTCTGAAGTCTTTGAAAAACTACATCTCAATGTCCTGAGTTTTTATCTGTACTTTACCTTGTGAGTTTCTTGTCTTCTCAATGCTTGACATAATTCTGGCATGAGATTCCCTCTACTGACTTTAGATTAATGTTCTTTAGGGTTACTGATTGTTAACATTCCTCTCAGATTTCCTGCAGGATCAACTAAACACAAGAAATTCAGAAGTAAACTGCCTTGGTGAGGAAATATGTAGCCTTCAATTGAAACTTGCAGACATGGAAATTCTAGAAGAGGAGGTGGAAAGGCTTAGAGAGTGTGTGAAAATAACTGAGTCCGAGAAGTCATTCCTAATGCACGAAATAGAAGACAAAGCAGTTGAGCTAACAAATTCAAATTTGTGCATCGAGAAGCTAGAAGAGTCGATTTCCTCCGTTGGATTAGAATATCAATGTGAAATAGAGACCATGAAACTAGATTTACTGGCCTTGGAGCAGAATCTTTTTGAAACTAAGAAAACACTGGAAGAAAGAACTCAAGAAAATTCTAGGATGAATGAATTGATTCAAGAACACGAGCTTCGATTTCAGGAGGCAGAGAAGGTTATCGTGAGCTTGGACAAGGAAAATAAAGATCTGAAGGAAAAGCTTAAAACATTTGATGAGAATGCCAAATCATTTGTCCATGAAGTGGAAGAGAAATTTCGTGAGTGGTTGGTGAAGGATGATGTCCACGCCTTGAGTAATCTAGAGAAAGATACACGGTATCCTAAAACCTTTATGTTTATGCTTTTGCAATTACACTGCTGCTTTTCACTTGACTGAAAACTTGTTCTGAACAATCACCTGTATTTTGATTTGAGAGGCCATGTTATGGGAAAAGAGAAGCAGCTTACACTATTCCTGTTCAGTGTGTGCTAAAGGCAACCTGATTCGTGAAATCTAGTTGATTGTTTGGCAAACTGCATTATTGTCGAGTCCTTTTGATATTTTGGCAAGTAGGATAAAAGGAGAATTACTTCTTACCTGAAACCAATTTAGGTAAAAGATATTCAATGCCTTCTGACATGTAGCTTGAAACGGGAGAGATTGTTGTAAGTTACACTGCAGTTATCATGTTTTGTTCCGAATGACTGCAAAATCATGAAAATGTCATATTCTTTATTAACCATTTGACGGAACTTTTTACAAAAGACGTATATGTATTTTTTTTCCAAGGATCGAAAAACTTTCATTTTTACAGGACTTAAATACCTTATTGATGCTTCTTGTTCAATCCATATATATTTGCTCTTCTATCAAGAATGTGCTTGTCTGGAAAAAGCTTGTTTACCTAATTATGACACCACCTAAATTTTTGTCAAGCACATGTGGCAACATTCTGGGTCCACTCCTTGCTAAACTTGCTATTCCAGGAGCATCAGATGCAGATTTGAAGAACAGGATGGATGAAATGTTGCACCAGATAGATGAATATGAAGGTGTTGTAACTCAACTCAAGGTATGTTCATAACCATCCACAGGCACACACTTACTGTAGATATCTATTTTTTTTTATGCAATCACTTTATAAATTAGTCAAATCTACAAACTAATAACGGCAGATAATCACGTTTGGTAAGGATTAAAAGTAAATCAACTTACTTTTCAAGGGAATTTTATTTTTTCAAAACTTTTTTCATTAGTAAAAAAATAATTATTTAGCAAGTTAGGGGTGACTTCAAAAAAAGTAACTTGTTTTTCAACTTCAATCATCAAAACTTACCTATTCACTATAAATAAACATTTTAAGCCTAACCAAACATGTACATAGTATATTTTGTGATATTACAACTGTAGAAATTGCAGTAGGCAAGCCCTGAATAAGTGAATGTGGATGATTACTAGGAAGAACTAAGAATGGAAAGGTTCAAAGCAAAAGAAGAAGCTGAAGATTTAGCTCAGGAAATGGCCGAGTTAAGGTATCAAATGACAGGCATGCTAGAAGAAGAGCGCAAACGTCGTGCTTATGTTGAACACATATCTTTACAGAGAATATCGGAGTTGGAGGCTCAGGTAGGCATTTATGTATACAATACGACCTTTGCCATTTACCTAGGAAGAGAAATTTACTAAATATAATTCATTTTTTGTGGCCAAAGATTGCAAAAGAACGGCAGAAATCTTTCAACTCTCAAGAACTTGCAGTCAGGCATATTCATGAAGTGTAAACATGGTATCTGAATTTCGTCATCTTTTCATTGAGATTTGTTGTCGAGGTTTGTTACGTGATATTTGACTTAAAGTGATATTTGACTTAAAGTACGCATGTTATTTTCCTCCTTAGCATTAAGAACATTATCATGGTATGAATTCTGTAGTGATTGGAATGCATCATATTTCTGCATAAAAAAAACTTACCGTAATATTTCTTACACACTCTTTTTTAGTTTGATGCTAGGGGTTTAAAACATGAGTGGTCATTAAACTTCATTATGTTCCAAGTTGGTTTCTGAATTGACTTAAACATTTTTTACAATTCGGTCATTTCATCTATGCCCCTTTTTATGATTAGCATAAAACCCGACGTGACAATTTTGTTTGCATCATATTTGGTAAATAACTACACTGTCGTGCCGCTGTCCTACTAATGAACGTAGATGGAGTGACCAGCTTGTGATAAAGTCAAAGTAAGATCAACACGAAATTCAGTTAAAAGTTTTGAGACATTGACTTGTAAAACTACGTAAAAACAGTGTTTCTATTCCCATGTTGATGCCAATCCAAGCTAAACTATTAAATAACCATTAGCATCTTACGAACTTATTAGGACCATTTTTCAGCATTTCTATTTAATTTTTGGCCTATCTCAACATGCTTAATCAAACTTATGTTGCTGGCGCTGTCACCTTGATTAAATTTCAATGCCTTATTAGGCATCTCAAATTGATTAATCTGACTTTTTGCCTACTCAAATGAAAACTTCCGAATTTCTTGGATTATCTGAGCATTACAGTACTCCTATGTTTTTTTTTTTTTTTTTTGGTTATGCTAAGAGTATGCTTGGAAAGTGTTTATAAATAGATAGAAATGAGTGGTGGAAAAATGGATAGTACTTGTGGGCCCCATGAAATGTGTGGATAAAATGGCTCGGCTGAAAGTATTTATAAATACTTTCCAAACATTGGCTAACTTATTTATGGTTATGCGCAGAATTTCTATAGATGAAGCGTGTGAAGCTATGCCAAATGTAGTTCTAAAGGATTTTTTTCGAAGATTTCCGTGCTACATCATCACCTTGTAGATTGCAAGAAATGTGATAATCTTTTGGTGATTGAGCGATGTTTTACCCTTTTTTACTAGGTCGTTTATTGAATTGTGTTGTCTTGATCATTTTTGGATTATTTTTGCGAAGATTTCTTTCTGTAGACTGAATTATTGTGATGTACAGTTATGTATTTTTATTGATATTGAGAAGTATCTTATGCTGAATATCTGTCATTTTACGCTTCATTTTCTAGAACAACATCATCAATTTGTTTGTTTGCTCTTTCGTGAATTTTGATTAATTCAACATCATTTTCACGATTAGTAGAGCCTATGAATTCATCACTACGACCTGTGGAAGCACATACTTGCAATGCTAGCCACTTGACTTTGTGCGAAAGTCTTTACGAGTAAATGATACCACTTAACTTGTCTATTTATTTATCAATTTATCAATATGATGAGATATATTTTTCAAGTTTTCACATTTTTGCATAGCAGACCAATTTAGTAAATCAGAATCCATTTTCATGTCTTGTAAGTGGACTCTCTTTCCATTTTTAAACTCCTCGACTATGAATGTTTCAGATTTTGATGTGTTACTTTCAAATACTTCACATGGAAAATAAAATATACTCTCTTCGGAAAACTATAGACACGAATATTTTTTCAACCATCAGAATTGAAATTGGGAATGTTCAGCCTCAGATCTAGTGGGATGACATCGTATAGAAGTTGATACGGTCACAATTTGACATAATGTCGATATTTTTTTTGATCGGTAAAGGTTGAACTCCAATCTTGAGGGTCCCTACCGTCTCACCTTTGGAATATTATGAGGGAGGTAAATTACGGGATATACTAGTCAGTGAACAAGAGCTTGTCGGTACATTAGTGTCTACAAAGAGTCAAATTTCATATCTCAAGAATTGAACATTCATACTACGACTGTCAACAAAATTGAGATTACCTTACTCTTGTCCTTTGCACCACTGAGTTATGTCTCGGGGGCGACATAATGTCGATATTGCTATATTGTGATGGGGTTTCTTGGATCTTGTTCAAAATATGGATGTGTGGTTTTGAAAGATTTTAATAAATGTTGATAAGTATGTGGTTGAAAAATTGATAAAATCTATGAATTTTATGAAACATGTTATTGATAATGAGTTTGTGAAAAAAATAAATTTTATAATATGGGGTCGACCAGTGGCACGAAATAAGAATGATTACTTTTGAATTTGTTTTCCAGTACATTCGCATCATTTAGCATTATTTCGCGCGGGTTAGTCGCTAACAATTAAAAGGGATCAGACGATTGTGTAAGGGACAAACATCTTGAGACAAAGTCCCAAAAAGGGGTGTTCTTTTATTGGCGATGACTTTACAATTGGAAATTAAAAACAAAGTACCTCCAAGGGGCGCAAGCACACGAGTTACTGAAAAAAAGTGTTTAAATCTAAGTTAAGCAAATTAAAATTACATGTTCTCTTTTCCAAAGTTTTTGATTCGGTCCTTTGCTTTATGTTTTTTTCTCCCTTTTATACTTCATGAACGATCTCTTTGTGATCAACTACCTAAAAACTGCTTGATCGTCCTATAACTGCCCACTTTCCTCGTAATGGCCAACTTGTCATGAAAACTGCCTTTTTTAACTGCTGCCATTACTCTTCGTCGTTCAACCGCTTTCGATTGAATTCCTTGAATCGTGGAACATGATAGGGTTGCTCTAATAACTGCATTGATAACTGCACTTCTTGATAACCACAACGCTTTATGTTTGTTAAGACCTTGGGCGACTTGGAGGTTTGGGCAAGAATAGAGTAACAGCTCTGGGTGACTGTATGGCACTCCATTCGCTCAGATTCTGGGCGACTTGCAAACTTGGGCGATGGCGTTACCGCGTTCTTGGGCCTTCCTATTTGGGCTTTCATCTTGATTTGTTTGATTGAGCTTCGTTTTTTGGGCTATCTGATTTGGGGATCCTCCAATTGGGCTTCACTCCTTGGGCCGTTCGATTTGGGCTGAATTTTTATGTGTCAACAATTACCCCCCAATATGGCAGAATTAATAATAATAATGAAATTTTGCCATATTCGCTTTGTGTTTCCAGCAACATTCGAAATTCTCAAGAATTTCAATCATTGTTTTCTTCTATAACTTGAAAAGGTGCGTCGTTTTGCAAAACCTTATAACCCCCAAACACGCCATTTCACTGCACCATTAAATCACGCCTCAAATTTTTGCGTCTTTCTCACGATTTACTGTTCATCTTTTGCTTCCCTGCTACGTAACCCTGAAAAACTTCGTTCCTTCTCAAATGGCTACTTCACAATTTCAAGCTGGCGACTCCTTTAATTTTGATGACTTTCAGAAACTTCTGAGTCGCCCATACATAACTCCAAGTTTTCTCGCGCCCGCCGATATCGAACGTAATGAGTTCTACTTGGGTCATTTCTTCAACAATGCAGAGGCAGTTGAACAGGCGGCGGTGGGTCAGCTGTTTCCTTGCACTCAAGGCCCTCCATTTCTAAACTCTTTACCGCTGGGGCCACTTCGCGAAAGAGGTATTCGCACTTG